GGGCATCCTCCTCTTCCATCTCACGAATCATACGCTCCATCTCGTCTCTTCGCTCTCGACGTTGGCTGCCGGCTCAGCAGGCTTCGACTCCGCCTCCTTAGTCGCCTTGGGTTCCTCCTTCTTGGTCGCCTCGGCGGCGGGCTCTTCAGCAGCCTTGGGCGCTTCCGTAACCTCCTTCTTGGCCTCTGTGACGGGTGCAGCTTCAACAGGCTTGACCTCGGTCTTAGCGGGCTCCGGCTTGGCGGTCTTGGTGTCCTTGGACTCGCCGCCGGCAGCCAGGAGGACCTTGGCGCGCAGCTCTTCCTGGATCTCCTTTGCCGTCTTCGGTGCGCTCTCCGTCCTGTTGTGGTCAGGGCGCGCAGGGGTGGCGCTCTTGGGTGCCGGAGAGGGTGTGGTGGCGATGACAGGAGGGGTCCTGGTCTGCTGGGTGCTCGGGGAGGGCGAAGCAGGCGTCTTCATGCTAGAGAAATCGACCGTCTCGCCTTGAGCGTTCTTGATGACCACGGCGGCACTCTTCTTGGGGCGCGTGAAAGGAAGGGCCGCAGCGCCCTTGCCTTGAGCGTTCTGCTGGGGCGCACCCGAGACGATGACTGGCTGGCTAGGCTGGCCGGTGCTGGAGGTGGGGCGTTCAGAGTGCGAGGAGGTGCGCGACATGCTGACTGGGGCAGCGGTGTGGTAGGGAGGAGGGACGAAGCCCTGCTGGTAGTTGCCGGCTGGCGAGCCCCCAGGGCCTTGCTGCATGTAGGGTTGGGGCATGTAGTAGGGTGCCTGTCGAGCGTCGAATTGGCCACCTTGGGGAGGGTATCCATACTGTTGTTTAGCTGTCAGCATTCGTTCGAAATTGCCCGATTCGGGAGATAGATCAATTTTAGCAGGTGACTGGGTTAGCAGACTCTTGTGAGAGGGAGGAATTAAAAAGCAAGGGGCATCCGGGTGAAGTGACGGCGTCGCTTTCAAGGGGCCCGTGTTGCGACCGCTGAGAGCTGCTTCTTCGGAAGCTTGAGTCCATGGCGCTTCTCCGCATGATACTTCTCCGCGTCTACTTGGACGTCGAGACTTCGAGGTCTGCGCCTTGAACAAGCCGTGATGGCGAGAGTTGATTAGCTGCCGGTCATGGTCGGGATACTTCTCCTGATCGCGGCGGCCAGACTTCTTCTTGTCGGGCTTGGAAGGAAACGAATTTGCAAGGAAAGGGAGGGTATGTACTTGGTGGGGGGGCATGCCAGGTGCCGGGTAGTGGTACTGCGTCTGGTTGGGCATGCCGTTGTGCATCTGGCAGGAGCCAT